GGCACTTCCATCTGGCAGAGTTTAGGACCTAGACGGGGGACCTTTCCACCCAGTTAACTGTCACCTCAGTATGGGATCCGGGAGGCCCAAAGACCCGCATCACTGTGCCTTCCTCAGCGATGCTGGGTTGCTCTGAGCCTCGGGTTTCCCCTCTCTGAAATGGGTGGGCGTGGTGGAGGACTGATCCCCACCAGGACCTGAGTATCCCCAGGGAGCATTCGGTGGTGGGTGAAGGTGGAGATACGGGTTGGGGGAGGTTTGTCTCTGCAGCTAGCCTCATTGGTGGGTCGTCCTTAAAGGAATGGTAACCCTGTCCCTGGGCACACCTGGGTCCTGGCAGGCCTTGTTTAAGGTACAGATGAAGTGCACTTTGTCCCCCTCCAGGGTGAACTCTCAGGACCTCCAGATGACAGCTGGAATGGTAGCCAGGTGGGCAGGACATGGGGGGACTGATGCATGGATCCTGAAGGTATCCTCAGCTTCAGCTCAGCGTCCCTCTGCCCCTGGGGCTGCTCTGGCTACACTCTGGCGTTTCTTTGATTGCTGTGTTGGCAGTCACCTCCACGACAAGAGGGGAGATCTCTAGAGGGCAGAGGATAGAGAGTGGGGTTCTTTCCTCTCTCTCTCCCCTTTCTTGCCTGTTCCTTTCTAAGTTCAAGCCAGAATAATGGGTGCAGAGCTCTGTAGGGTGACTTTGAAGCGAATGGTTTGCTGGCTCTCTACTAAAGTCAGCAGCTGTACTCTTGCAGCCATGTGCTGGGACATCATCTGTCTGCCCTCAGCAGACAGGGAAACTTGATTCCCTAACCAGTCAGGAGAGAAGCTAGCACTGAGAGGTCAAATGACACCACTGCTTCATCCATCCACTGCCTCGGCGCCAGGCCTGGGGGGTGACAATGCCACTCAGGAGTTGAATAAAAGATGCTGTTTCCTTTGGAGATTGCAGCCCCAAGACAGTTGCTGGGAAGTGTAAAGATATTGAGTCTCAGGCTAAGGTTTGCAGGGAGAGCTCCTGGGGGTGGCTTCCAAGCCCTCTACTCCAATTCCTTTCTCTTGGGCTCATTATCATGTGATTACAGTGATAGTTTTCTCAGCAGCAACTCTGGGCTGCTGACTTTCATGTCTAAATGGACATTTAACCTCTCATCCACTTAAGGAGGCAGTGTTCTCCCTGACTGTAGGCAATGTGGTCCTGTAGCTCATCACTAGGAAAGCCAGAATTTAAATCAGAGTTGTCATCTCAACAATAATGGTAACAATGATAATAACAAGTGTAGCTGGTACTTATCATGGGCTTACTATGTGCTGGCCAGTACTTTCAGAACTTTGTATTAACCAATATTTACAATAGGCCCATATGGTACTATCATATCTTCATGTGAGAGATGGGAAGTTGGAAGTAGAGAAATATGTAGGCTTTTACCCAAGTCATGTAGTGGGGAACTGGCGGAACGGGTTTAAATTGGGCTTGCTCATCTTAACACCAAGAGGCAACCAGGGTGAAGAATCAGGTTTTGTTTGGGCTGCAAAAGACAGAACTCTATCCCCAATAACAGTGGTGTGAATGGAAGTTTGTTTCTGTCTCACTTGAAAGAAACTTTGCAGTGAGTGCTCAGGGCTCAGATGGTGTCTCCTGCAATCTTGTCATTTGGCCATCTGCATTGTGGCTTCTATGTCCCTGCCCAAGGTAGTTGCTCCAGCTCTACTCAGTACATCTTCACCCCAGACAGCAAAAGGGAGGATGGAAGGACTGCAGAGGGGCAGCCCTCCCTTTAAGAACAATTCCCAGAAGTCTTGTGTGATCTTTTTGTTCATTTCCTATTGGTCAGAACATAGTCACATTACCATGTCTAGCTGCAGGAGAGACTAGGAAATCATGTGACAAGCCAAAAAACGAGGACTCCCTACTCAAGATGAAGGCGTCAGTGAATATTGGGAGTGCATAATCTCTCCTGCTATTCTCTGGGCACTTGGAAGGTGGGTATCAGATGGCTGCCTCCGACTCTGGTGCCCAGTGTGAGCCACCCATAGTCACCAGGTGATAGTGAGAGGCCAGGCTTGAGCCACAGCACCTTCATCCTCTTCTGTACCTTCCCGTTTTGACCCAGGAGCTGCCTGTCAACAGGTGCTGGCTCCTGCCAGACTAGAACTCTGGCTGCCCAACCCATACTCCACATCAGAGGCATAACAAGCAGGACAGGATCCACAGGTGGTGTGGAGCTCCTGACTCCAGTGTAAGGACAGCTTGGGGCTGGGGTGGGGCTGTTTAGCTGCCAGTGAGGTGACACTGGGACCCAGGGCAGGGCCTTTCCTTCTGGACTCAGTTCTCTTCCATTTCTTCTGGGTGAGGGAGCAGAGGAGGAGTCACAGGATTGTCTTGTGTAACAGGTATGGAAGAAGCATAACCAGGACCCGTGGACTTACTGCACAGCTTTGAAAAATTATCTTTTGACTTCCTATGATAGTAAATCTTTTCTGTTTTTGTTTTTTTCTTTCTTTATACAATGGATTTAAACCAGGGTTGCTTTACCACTGAGCCACATCCCCAGCCCTTTTTGTTTTCTACTTTGAGACAGGATCTCACTAAGTTGCTTAAGGCCTTGCTAAGTAGCTGAGGCTGGCCTTGAACTTGTGATCCTCTTGTCTTAGCCTTCTAAGCTGTGTGTGCCACTGTACCCTGCCTATCATAGTAAATCTTACCAAGAGCTTATTTTGTGCTCAACTTCTGTGAACCAATTTCACCTGGAAAGTGGCTGACTTGTGGATGATGGAATGGAGGCAGAGGGAGGCCGTGGAGGGAACAGGGCCAGAGAGGTTGAGGAGTGTGACCCAGCTAATTAAGTGGGAGCCGTATTTGGCTGCCTGTGTTCCTGCCCAGCCAAAGCCCTTCCTTCCTGCCTGGAGTCCTTAGCCCTGTGTGTCCTTAGTTTGTTGAGTCCTGTGACGGGAAAGAACAGTTACTGATCCTTGACTAGGCGCTTCCTTCTTGTTACCTTGGAGGACAAGGCACAGAGCTGTGGGAATGTCCCAGGTCATGTGGCTCTCAGCAGGACTGGAACCCAGACCTGAGAGGTGCCAGCAGAGTCTAGAACCTGGAGGCATTCCTGGAGCAGGGGAAGGTGGGCCCTGCCAGTCACACAACAGCAAAGCAGGGTGGGCCCCGCACTGGCTGCAGTTCCAGGAGTTGTGGTGGGAAAGGAGCACCTTAGGTTGGGATGGAGGGTCCCAGTTGTAGGAGACGTGTCTCAGGGAAGTTGGCCAACAGCAAGGGCATGGCAGGACTTGGCCAAGTGAGGTCAGTTTAGACGTATGGGGGACCCCAGCGCTGGAGCCCTATAGTGTCTGGGGTAAAAAGACCCTGAGCTGGGAAGGAAGACCTTGGGTTCCAGAGCATCTGGCTGGGCACCCTGGATAAGTCGTATACATGATGGACATGAGAAGGGCCGGTCACTGTGGACTTCCCCAGGGGCCTGCCAAGGGGCCTGGAGGGGGTCTGCAGGTGGTTGAGGGGGAGTCTGAGGATGGAGGCTGTAGTGCGGCGATGCTTCCTGAAAGAGGCAGGGGTTTTCGGGAATGGGAATGCTCCATAGTGAGGCTGGGACCTGGGTCCTCATCTTGCCCTGCCTGGCATCAGCAGGTGGAATGCTATGGAATATGATGAGAAGCTGGCCCGGTTCCGGCAGGCCCACCTCAACCCCTTCAATAAGGAGCTGGGGCCAAAGCAGCATGAGCAGGGACCTAGTGAGGAGGCCCTGGACATTTCTTCTGAAGGTAGGTGCTGGGGGACTCTGTGGGCCCCCTGACCCTTCTCCCAGCCCACCACCTTTCCTCCCACTGCCCTCTCCAGCATGCTGGCTTTCTCCCAGAGTGGGTTCCCAAGGGCACAGTCCTTTCTGCCTGCTCTGTGGATTGCTTCTGCCTTCTTGCCAGCAGGAGCTTTTGAGGGCAGGGATTTGTGTCTGGTGTGCCACTGCTGGATCCCAGGGCCTGGCACATAGTCCACGCTCAGAGGACACTTGTGGAACAAACTCTGAGCCAAGACTGGTGGGGGACTGGTTAGCAGGTGAAGCATCCTGTGCAGAGGCCCCTGCTCACCTAGGGGTCAGGAGGGTATGAATCCAGGAACTGCAGAGGTGGCCTGCAGTACACACCAGAGTATGGATTTTGTGTTATAACTGTTCAGTGGCTACACCACACACACACACACATACACACACTTCCTTTTTGTTAGAAATTCAGTTGCTTTTTTGGCTGTGTAGAATCAGTGCAGAGTCCATGTAGTTATACATGAGGTATCTGCTGTAGAAACTGAGATGTTTCTATAAAACTATCTTGTGGGCCTCCTTTAGCACCATTGAATACCATTCCACCTCATCTTTTTTTTTAATATTTATTTTTCGGTTTTAGGTGGACATAATATCTTGATTTCACATTTATGTGGTGCTGAGGATCGAACCCAGGCCCTTGCACGTTCTAGGCGAGCGCTCTACCACCGAGCCACAGTCCCAGCCCCTCCACCTCATCTTTTTGAATTAAACCAAATGGGCGTGCAGAGCTGAGCAGGCCCAGCTCCCCAGGGCCTGCTTCCTGTGTCCACCTGCGTCCCACTTCCCAGCTTCCTTCCTGGGGGATGAGGAGCGTGAGAGAGAGCAGGCTGACTCTTCTTTCCTACCATCCTCCATGCCCCTCCTCTCTTCCTGCAGAGACCCTGCCTGAGCTGCCCCCTGGGGAGCCTGGGTTCCACTGCTCTGAGCGCGTGATGGACCTTGGCCTGTCTGAGGACCACTTCTCCCGCCCTGTGGTGAGGTTTGGGTCTGGGAGGGGAGAGGGGCTGGACCATGAGGTTTGAGGTGTGCAGTCTTCCCTCCCCAGGGAACCACCATTTTCAGGTGTTGATCGTCCCCTCCTCAGCCAAGTCCCCTGGAGCTCGAATCTGAGCCTGTTTGAGAGCAGGCGGAGAAAGCCTGGGTTTGGAGCTCGAGAACCTGGGGCTTCCGTCCTCCTCTAGGCTCCTGCTCCAGATTCTTGGGGAGCCAGTGTGAGGGTTGGTTCCCTTTGGGGTCTTCAGGGGTCTTGTAGATCTGCAGTAGAATGAAGGTGGATGAGGAAAGCAGGGGGCCTTCCCTGCCTGCCCGCCGCCCAGCACTGAGGGCCACTCTTGCTTGTTCTACATGAAGTTCTACAAAAGGGTTCCTTTGAATGAAAAGTGAATGTGGAAGAGCTGGAATTATTTTAAAAGTTAGAAAGCCTTTAGTTTTATGCAAACTATCTCCAACTTTTATTTGAGAGAAACACAGTAAAATCAGAATGTAACTTAAAAAGATTTAGCCAGAAGTCACCCGATTCTCATTCATTTTTCATTTTGTATGTGGCCTTAAAACGTTGCCCACGCAGATACGGGTTTTTGTCTTTATCGTAACATTTTGAATGCTTCCTTTTGGCCACAGACTTTCCGAGGAGAAGGGAAGGGTGCGTCTTCTCTTTGCTGGGTCTTAGAGCCCAGCACGCCGGTGGATGAGGAAGGCTCCTGAGTGTCCGCCCAACCTGCTCAGCTCCAGGAGCTGCCTCCCTGTGGTCTGTTCTGAGTCTGGGGCTTAGCAAATCCCTGCCAGTCTGGTGGTGGTGGACACTCCAGGCTCCTTTATTGGCCTTTGTTTGGACTTGGCAATTGAGCCAAGTGGCCATTTCCTCTCCTTTACGACAGCAAGTGTCATTTCCCCAGCTTGCCTCTAAGGGGAAGTTCTTCTGAAGTCAGTGTAACAGTCAGCCACAGTGGTGCGTACTTGTAATCCCAGTGACTCGGGAGGCTGAGGCAGGAGAATTGCAAGTTTAAGGCCGATTTTCTCAGCAACTTAGTGGGACCCTGTCTCAAAAAAAATACCACCACCACCACCAACAACAAACCAGCACTGGGGATGTAGGTCAGTGGTTAAGTGCCCCTGGATTCAACCCTCAGTACAAACAAACAAACAAACAAACAAATAGTAAGTGAAATAGTAGAGTCAACAAAACAAAAAAACGAACAAACCCCAGTCAAATTTCTGAAAAAAAAAAAAAGGAAGTTAGTGTGCTTGTGTGTGGAGGAGTGGGGGTTGGGCTGGGGACCCCATCAGCTTCCAGCATGTCAAACAAGCCCTGTACCACTGAGCGTCCATCCCAGCCCTGGGAAGTTGTATTTTGGAAAGCATCCTGAATTACTGGGTCTTCAGAAGTCTGTGGGTAGACTAGTCTAGTTGGGGACAGGCAGTGCAGGATGGATTCTGACTGTGCTGCTAATTCTCCTGAGCTTTGAACAAGTCCTCATCTGGGGGAAGGGCTTGAGGTCTGCTCTGTGCCTAACTGTCCATGAGGACCAGTCTGGCCTCCAAGGGAGAGTCCAAGGAGTGGCCATCTGACTGCTTCCCAACCTGGCAGGGTCTGTTCCTGGCCTCTGATGTTCAGCAACTACAGCAGGCAATCGAGGAATGCAAGCAGGTGATCCTGGAGCTGCCCGAGCAGTCGGAGAAGCAGAAGGACGCAGTGGTGAGGCTCATCCACCTGCGGCTGAAGCTCCAGGAGCTGAAGGTGGGTGCTGGCCGGCTGTGCCACAGAGGGAGCCTAGAGCCAGGGCTGTAGCAGTGGGGACAGGAGCACCAGGGTGGCCTCCAGTTCCTCCCTGGTGCGTCTTTTTGGGCTCTGAGGGGCTGAGATACAAAGGCATCTAGAAATGCAGAGTGAGAGATGGGCCCTTATCCCAAGTGCAGGCTTTTCCCCTCTTGGTGGCAAGGAACAGAAACCTGACCTTAAGTAGCTTCAACGAGAAGAAAAGTATTTTCTTGTTAACTGACAGATCCTCAGGAATCCTGCCCTCTTTTGTTCTGCTCTCCATGTTTGCCCCCTCCTCAGTAGTCCGCGGACAGGTGATGCAGACAGGAGCCCAGCAAGGCAGCCGGGTGGTTCTGGGGATGGAACTGGGGCCTCCTGCCAGTTAGGCAAGTGCTCGACCACTGAGACAGCCCCAGTCTGAAGCTCCCCTTTGTCAGTGGTGAGGGCAGAAGTCAGTCCTGGGCCCTCCTGACCTCTGATGGGCTGGTCCTGCCACATGGCCAGGCCTGAAACCGCACCGCAGTGTGCCAGCTCTGGTCATGTGCCCCACTGAAGCAATACCTCTTGGAGCCACATCCTCCTCCCTAGATGAGGAGTAGGAGTTTCCTGACAGGAGAACAGAAGGAGGTAATGAATCCCAGAGTCCAAAATCCCTAGTGTCCACTGCAGGCCAATTGTGTTCCTCGGCTTGGCTGTCATTGTGTGCCCTGCAGTGACCCACAATGTGTGTGTGGCCACAGCCTCACTGATTTCCTAAAGCAGACCCCACATCAGGAGACCCTGGGAAATCAGTAAGGCTGTGGCCACACACAATCCAAAAACTCAGTGGTTTAAAGGAGATTGGTGTGAGACTTTCCTCATGAACCCCCCAGGTGGTCCAGGCCTGTGTGACAGGTGATGGTGTTGAAGACCCGAGTCATCCTTTTTCATGGCTCTGCCATTCCCTGGGGGCGTCCCAAAGGGCTCCACACCACGTCGCTTTGGTCTGCACCCAGCCAGCAAAGGGACAGTAGATCCTTCCTGCTCACAGGGCAGTCCCAGGTGGCAAGGGGCTGGCCGGGCTGCCGGGAAATGGCGTGGGTGGCCTGTGATCTGCCCCTGACTGACCGTCTTCCTATGGCTCATGGGAACTCGCACTCTATAAGCAGTGCCTGGAGGAAGTAAGTAGAGGGGCTGGAATAAAGGAAAGGAGCTGAAGCCAACCCACTGGTGGCCCTTTCCTGGCTCTCGTCTGTAGGACCCCAATGAGGATGAGCCCAACATCAGGGTCCTGCTTGAGCACCGCTTCTACAAGGAGAAGAGCAAGAGTGTCAAGCAAACCTGCGACAAGTGCAACACCATCATCTGGGGACTCATTCAGACTTGGTACACCTGCACAGGTAGGCCAAGACTGAGACCACTCCTACTGGATAAGCAGTCCAGGTCTCTGGGGCAGGGCAGAGAAGTCCAAAGCTCCGCTTCCAGATGTGGGTCATGTTCAGGTGAATCCTCTAGAGTGTACACTGTGGACCAGGACCTACTGTGTGCTGGAGATACAAGGAACAGTTAGGGGCAGAGATCCTGCCTTCACTGGCCTGCATCCAGATCCAAGCTGTCCAGTACAGTGGTCACTAACTCTACATGGCCATCAAATTTAAACAGGAATAAATCAGTGGTACTGTCTACATTGCGAGTGCTCAATAGCCACCTGAGGCTGGTGGCTGCCACACTGGACAGTATGGAGAGAACATTTCCTTCACTGCAGAAGATTTCCTTGGTGGAAATATCAGACTAGTAGATGACATGGTAGTAAAGAAGAAAGGGAAAGGGAATAGGACGTATGGTGGGTAGAGTGGATACCACTTTAGGGTGCCCACGTGGCATTTAAGCAAATGCTTGGAGGTCAGGGAGCAAGGCAGGGATGTACCTAGGGAGGAGTGTTCTGGTTGAGGAAGCCAGGTAATGAAGGGTCCCATGGTTGAAGTCTTCAAGGAGGAGCAGAAGAGCGACTAGAGCGTCCTGTGTGAGGAGGTGTGGTGAAGTTGGCTTGTTTGTAGAGCCATAGGTGCTTGACTGCTTTAGACGCTGGCTGCTGAGTTGAGCAGGGCGGGAGGAGGGGGCAAAGCCGGAAGGAGAGGTGAGTAGCAGGGGGACGGTACGAAACTCTGATGGGTACGATGGAGTGAGAGGTGCTGAGGCCATGCCAGCTGGGGGTTTGGGTGTGCAGCGTAAAAGATAAGGGGAGTTGGCATAACTCATGGCGTCTGGGCTCAGCTGTGGATGGATGGAGTTGCTGAAAACCAGAGGGGAAACAGGACTGGGGATGGAACAGAAGAGTGAGAATTCCATTTGGAAAGCTTGGGTTTGGTGGGTGGGAACGGCAGGTTGGCCCCAGGACATGTCTCTCGAGTTGAGAGATAAGGCTCAGGGAACTGTGAGGATCTTTAAGGCACTTCTGGGGCAATGCCACAATAAGGTCTTGGATTGATCTGGACACTGCAGCAGAAATGTGCAGGATGCAGAGTGGTCCTGCTGAAGGTCAGCCTGTGCTGCAGGACCCTCCTCTCCACTTCTAAGAGGCCTGGTTGTTCCCACCCAGGGTGTTATTACCGCTGCCACAGCAAGTGCTTGAGCCTCATCTCCAAGCCCTGCGTGAGCTCCAAAGTTAGCCATCAAGCTGAGTATGAGCTGAACATCTGCCCTGAGACAGGGCTGGACAGCCAGGATTACCGCTGCGCTGAGTGCCGGGTGCCCATCTCTTTGCGTGAGTGGTGGCAGGGAGAACAGGGTGAGGGAGCTGTTCCAGCATGGGTAGTGGAAGGATTGAGTGAGGGTCTGGGGGTCAGTCCCTGCTCCCTGTCTTTGGGAAGTGACTGACAATTGCATTTCTGACTAAAAGCCAGCTGAGGTTCTAGCTATTTCCTGACTTGCCCACATCTCTACCTGGCTGGGACCAAAGCTCAGCTCTGTGGCCCTCTGTCACAGGAAGCCCACCCAGGCAGGGACCAGGAGAACCACAGGCTAGCCACACAGAGCGGGTGTTTTGAGACTTACCAGCATCCATTCATGGCTCCCACGAGCGGTCCTGGAGTGGGATCCTCCTGCCCTGTGTAAATGGTGATCAAACCGAGGGCATAAGCCCCGCAGCCTTGTGGCTTAGGGGTGGTAGTCTGGTTTGGAGTGTGGGGTCACTGACCCTGCTTTCTATTTTCTGTGGGCTGTGGGCTGCCAGTGACCTTGAACGGCTGATCCCCACAGGGGGCGTGCCCAGTGAGGCCCGTCAGTGCGACTACACAGGCCAGTACTACTGCAGCCACTGCCACTGGAACGACCTGGCCGTCATCCCTGCACGAGTGGTGCACAACTGGGACTTTGAGCCCCGCAAGGTGGGGGTTGGGGACAGGGAAGAGGGCCTGGGGAGGGAGAGCCAAATGGCAGGCCAGCGGTGGGTGTGTCCCATGGCCAGCAGGCGAGTGTGGGCGGGATTTGGCTCCCTGGGCTGGCGTGGTCACTCCACCACCCCGCAGGTGTCTCGCTGCAGCCTGCGCTACCTGGCGCTGATGGTGTCCCGGCCAGTGCTCCGCCTCCGGGAGATCAACCCTCTGCTCTTCAACTACGTGGAGGAGCTGGTGGAGATCCGGGTGAGGCTAGGGGCGGGCAGGATGCTGTATCTGATGGATTCAGTTTTCTAGCCGTGGAGGGCCACAAAAGGTGTGCGCAGAGGAGAGGTACTGCTTAGGTTCAACTGGCCCGCTTGGCTGCCCTGCAGATTGACAGTGCTGACACTGTCCTGGAGCAATCTGATGCAGGCACGGAGGCGATTTTTTAATTTCTAGTAGTCTTATTAAAAAAGTAAAAAGAAACAGGTGAAGATGTTTACTAATATATTTTATGTAACCCAGTGTATCCAAAAGGTGATTTAAATGTGCAATCAGTATGTAAAATTATTGATCTATTGTACCCTTTGTGTGTGCCACATCTGAGAATGCCAGTGTGTGCTGCACACTTAGTACAGACCAGCTACGTTCACCTGCTCTGCGCCACGAGGGAGAGCTGGGACTGAGGGCAGACTGAGGCTCTGTCCAGGTAGGAGGTGCCACATTGCCTCAGGCAAGGTGGGGGACAGGGTTAGTTCCCATGTCACCTGGGAGAGGACCAACAGAGCAGGTTGAGTCGCCCACGCCACAGGGCTGATGAGAGATGTGGGATCCATTGGAATCTCAGTTCAGTGCTGGATGTGGACCAGTATTGCCCTGACGGGTGCGTTGCAGGCCTGGGGAGCTGGGATAAGCAGAGTGGCTGGGGGATTCTGTGGGCGACAGTAAATGAACCTCAAGATCCTGACGTGAGTGTGGCTGGAACTCTCGGATCTGGGACCATCCTGGGGAAACTGAGGGTACCTCCCCATTCCCTGCTCATCTTGTTGCCATGCAGACTGTAAACCGAGGCCACCTAGTGGACATGACCCCATCAAACCAGCACAGGGCCAGTCCCTTTGCCTTGCTGACGAGGTCATGGCGAGGGGCCATGACCACCTTTCTGGATCTGTGTGCCCTTAACGGTGTCCTATATGCCTCCCCTCTGCCCTAGCTGAGGAGTTAACCTGCTCCCTTGTCCACAGAAGCTGCGCCAGGACATTCTGCTCATGAAGCCATACTTCATCACTTGCAAGGAGGCTATGGAAGCTCGTCTGCTACTGCAGGTCAGACTCTCAGAGGGACTGGCCCCAAAGAGCCAGGGTGATGGAATCACCTCACACTCAGAACTTTTCAAATAACTTGGTAGTTGTGTTTGTTTAGCTTGTAGCAGTCTGGGCCTCCCAAACTGTGCCGGAACACCAGGTTGATAATAAGCCATCAGGTAGTCTACCCACAGAAGTGTTCTTTGATTATTTCAGTCTTGGAAACAGATGAGTAAGATGTCCTTCAACCTTCATGTGAGTCTCCATGGGGGTGAACCTGGCCCAGCTTCCTCCCACAGGAGACACACAAGTTGTCTTTTTTTGTTAATATCTTTAATTTTTATTTATACATTTTTATGTGGTACTTAGGATTGAACGCAGTGCCTCACACATGCTAGGTGAGCACTCTACCAGTGAGCCACAACCCCAGCCCAGGAGGAACACAAGTTTTATTTTATTTTTTCATTTATTTTTTAGTTGTAGATGAATACAATATCTTTATTTTATTTTATGTGGTGCTGAGGATCGAACCCAGGGCCTCACGCAGGCCAGGCGAGCACGCTACCGCTGAGTCACAACCCCATCCCAAACACAAGTTTTAAAACTCACCTGTTTGGGGCTGGCTGGGGATGTGGCTCAAGCAGTAGCGCGCTCGCCTGGCCTGCGTGAGGCCAGGGTTCGATCCTCAGCACCACATACAAAGAAAGATGTTGTGTCCGCCGAAAACTAAATAAATAAATATTTAAAAACAAAACAAAAACAAAAAGCTCACCTGTTTAGGGCTGGGCCTGTGGCTCAGTGGTAGAAGGTTTGCTTAGCATTTGTGAGGCCCTGAGTTCCATCCTCAGCACCACATAAACATAAATGAATAAAGCAAAGGTCTTGTGTTCAACTGCAACCAAAAGAAATATTTAGAATAAACCACCTGTTTATTCTTCAGCCAACATTCACGACTCTGGTCTGGATTCTGAAAACAGTGAATAGGACAAGTAGGAGAGTTCTGTACCCTTGGAGAGTGTCCATCAGTCAGGAATTCAAGAAAAATAAGTGTATGTCAGAGATGAGCACAGTGGACAAGAGAAAGCAGGGAAGGGGACAGGGAGTGTGGGGCAGGTGCCAAGCAGGGGAGCTGGGAAGAGGGACAGCCAGAATTGGGAAGGACTGGAAGAGGGGAGTGGTGGGACCACCACTGTGGCTGAAGGGGCATCAGAGGGGCATATAGACCCAGAAACATGGCCTTGGCTCCGTGAACCTCTTAGGCGTCCCCAGGCTCCTGGATTCTGTTCCTGAGCCCACACACAGGTACCATCCTCAGCACCCTGAGCCCTGACCATGGGAGTGGCCTGGTGGAGGGGAGGGCCCTTGCTCTGTGCTTGGGGTAACATCCGGCTCACAGCTCCAGGACCGGCAGCACTTTGTGGAGAACGATGAGATGTACTCCATCCAGGACCTGCTGGATGTCCACCTGGGCCGCCTGGGCTGCTCGCTCACTGAGACCCACACACTCTTCGCCAAGCACATCAAGCTGGACTGTGAGGTGGGTCTCCATAGCCCTCCATGGTTGGGGTCTGGACCAGAGGGACCATGAAGCTGCTCTTTGGCCCTCCAGACTCGAGAGCTGGGATTGGCAGAAGCAGCAGCTGGGTCCAGCCTATCCATGGCCCGAGCTGGCACCTACCTGCCCACCTTCAATTCCCACACTGTTTCCCCTTCCTACCAGCGGTGCCAGGCCAAGGGGTTCGTGTGTGAGCTCTGCAGAGAGGGCGATGTGCTGTTCCCATTTGACAGCCACACATCTGTGTGTGCCGACTGCTCAGCCGTCTTCCACAGGTGGGTGTGGCCTGGCCCCAACTTCAGCCTGGGTGCTGAGCTCAGCTGTGGCTCTGTCTGCCCTCAGCTGTGGCTGGTCTGTGTGAGCCTCACTGCTGTCCCCGAGAGACAGGGAAACAGACCTTTGGGCCTTGGCCGATTCTGAGAGTCGTAGTTAGATCCTGGTGTCTGACTAAATTAAAAATCCTATTAGGGATGAATGCCCACGGAGCTGAGAAGGGATGGCTGCGGCCCAGATGGCCCTGCACTTGCTCCCTTCTGCACCAGTGCCATTCACTCTTCAGGTCAGCACAGGCCAAATGTTCCCAAGCTTTAGTTCCTGAAACCCTTAGTGCCTCAGTTACTTAAAAAAACAAACAAACAAAACTGACACTTTTGATTCCTAAGTACCTATGTCCAAACAGTGTTATAAGGATTTATGTCCTGAACATTTATTTAGTTACTGTTTGGAAAAATAATACACATAAATTAGAAGAAAAGCATTTTGAATTTGTTGTTCAGTAAGTATCATTTTCTACTAATGACACATGTGCACATGCTGGGCCCTGAAGTCAAGTGGGACACTGTTCCCCATGTTCTGCCCACACTGATTTTTGCTGGGCATCTGCTGTTTATCATAGCAACTGATGACATCTCAGCTCTACACAGCTAGGGAGTCACAAAATTCCCTTGATCTAGTAGTCTGCATGTGCCTCACAGACTTCAAATATTGCTGTGTTCTCTTCAAAGAGGTAAATGAGCTTGTAGAGCCCCACACACTCTCTGCAGTGCCCTGGCATGCCTTGACACACAGTTTAGAACCAGGGGTAGAAGCACCAGAGTGGCACGAACAGGTAGAGACAGTCAAGTAGCTACAGGTGTGGAGCCTAGGTGTGACTGCCTGGCGGAGCCCCACTAACTAGGAGCCTGCAGCGTTGGGTAATGTGCGGACCTTAGCAGAGGCACATTCGTGGGCCTCAAGGTTAGTGACACCTGGATGAAGATCCTGCTCTCCTGTGGTACTGAACATCTGTGAGCCTGTTTCTGTGTTTGTAGAGGGTTAATGGAAGCTAACTTAGGAGGCTGTGAGAGTCCCATGGTATAATTTTACATGCAGAGTCCCAGCCTGTCTTTCTGCCCCCAGGGACTGCTACTACGACAACTCAACCACCTGCCCCAAGTGTGCCCGGCTCAACTTGAGGAAGCAGTCACTCCTCCAGGAGCCCGATCCAGACTTGGATGCCTAGAGCTCTGGGCACACCACCAGCCTATCTGGCACCCACCCCACTGGCGTTGCAAAGCCAGGGTGCTGTTTCTGCCCTGAAGACCCTTTGGGTGCATCCCTTGGATGTCTTCACTCCTGCTGGGCCAGAAGTGGGTGAGCAGTGCCCACCAGGACTGATGCTCTCCAGGTGCTGGCTGGACTTGGGGCATCTGCACCTGGCTGTTAACTTGGTGTGCTGCTGTGAGGGGTCACAGTGTAGTCCCTACCCTCCACCCCCACTAGAGGATTTCTTGGTCAGGGTGAGACTTTCTAGGGGGATAGGGAAGGACCTCTTGCTTCCCCAATCCCCTAGGGCCAAGGCTTCTGGGTTCTAGAGATGTCCCTCCCTGCTCCTGTCCAAGCCACTCTGCAACTGGTCAGGTAAAGACCCCCAGAGGGCTTCAGAGGAGTGGCCAGTGAGACCTGAGCCTGCCAGCTGCATACATCCAGCCTTGGGCCTGTTCCATCTGCTCTGGCAGAGGCTTTGGATTCTACCTGAAGACCAACCCTCCTGGTCCCTTGCCTCTTTGGGAGCTTCTGGTCATCCCTGGCTGGGGCTCTTCAAGGTTGTGTCCATGGCACCACCTGAGGTCCTTCTAAGTCATCCATGGGCCGTCAGTCCATTGGGTCCCTGCCCTCCCTGATCAGGAAAGGGAGGCTTCCTGCTGAGGGGCTTCTCCTGGTGGGTGCGCTTGCTGCTGCTCTTGCTCTGGCACAGCCCCCTTATCCTGGTGCTCTGAGATGAGTGGTGGTGGGCCCAGCCCAAGAAGGGTGTCCTGGCCTCTGGTGTGTAGCAGGAACTGGGTCCCTGGAGGAGGTCCCAGGTCAGGTAAAGGAGTTGGGTACAATAGGCCTGTGTGGCATTCCTTGGGATCACATTTGTCCCTGGAGCTTCGTCTTGCTGCCAGTCTGGGAAGAGCTCCAGAGAGCTCAGAGATGACCATCCAGAAAGTTTTGGTTTGGGGCCTGAGGCCTGAGAAATGGGAATATTTGCTGGAGGAAGAATGAAGCAGGAGGTGTAGAGCTCATGCAGGAATGTCCAGACCTGGAAGGTGGGTAGGACCCAGGCTTTTCAGTGGGAAGGCCACTCCCAGCCTTGGGGTTTGCACCTTACAGGCCCTAGGGACGGGATGTTGCAGGAGGGGATGTCAGGACATGGTCTCCTAGTCGTCTGTCCCTGGACAGCTGGGATTGCTTTGTCTGTCCCTTTCCTCCCCACCCTAGACTGTGCTTGGCTTTGGACATACACAGGTGGTGGGCAGAGGGCAGGTGATGGCTATCCATCACATGTGACTAAGCCCAAGAGACACTCCAGCCAGCAGGACACAGCCCAGCTTGCTGGCTCATTCTGGGGGTGGGGGGTGGGACTGAAACAGCACCCTCCTTGTCCGGCTGTGCCACCAGTTGGCTTGAGGCAAGGCGCTTGCTGTGTTTTGCCTCAGTTTCCCCATCTGGAAAATGGGGAAAGTGGTATTGACCTACCTCAGGGTGGAACAGTGACAAGGGGACACTGCTGAAATTCTTTAAGGAGTGTGACATGAGTCGGATCAGTGGTGGGTCCCTATCCTGCTTCCCCTTTCTCTTTGGGATAGAATGGGTGGGGGCAAAGGCTAAGTGCCCTTTTCCTATACCCCTAAATCTGCATGTCTATCACTACTGCATCACATTTCTGTCACGTGGATATTGGTCATTCCTGAATCTTCTGTGTAGTCAACATCACGTTATTCTAGTTACAAAGTATTATGTCCTTAGAAAACATCTGTAGGCTGGCATTTGTTGGACAAAGCGTTGGCTCCCACTTTTTAGATATTCCCCACTCCTCCCACTACTACTGTGCTTTTTTTAAACTCACCTCTATACCTTGTCCCCTAACACCTCTTCTCTACCTTTCTGGATGACAGTCGTCTTTAATTAGAATCATGTGTGGGACCTTCTACTAGTCACAGCATGATAGGAAGAACCACAGCCAGAAGTTGATTTGCATGGCCAGCATCTTATAGAAGACTACACCCAAAGATACCCATAGCGTGGAACACGGATGGCCTGAGGAAGGCCCAGTTACAGTAATGCCACCATCTGTGTCTTATTAAATGTGTTCTCTAGACTCTGGTGTGTGTGGTGAATCTGGGATAAAGCAGAGTTGTTCGACATAAAAGCTAACATCAGGGGTAGGAAACCTCATGGCCTTCCCCTCCAGCAGGCTTAAATGTACCTGGTTTCGGGTGAAGTTGGAAGAAGTGCTTAAGACGGGGCTGGGGTTGTGGCTCAGCAGTGGAGCGCTTGCCTAGCACTTGCGAGGCCCTGGTTCGATCCTCAGCACCACATAAAAATAAATAAATAAAATGAAGGTATTAAAAAAGAAGAAGAAGTGCTTAAGATGGTGTCAGACAGATCAAGACCTGAGCCTTCTCTGGTGGTGTGTGGAGAACTTGCATAATTTATCTCAGCCTTCATTTTGATGAGCTGGGATGACCACACAAATCTCCAGGAAGCATTTGGCACTGTGCCTTCCATGTAGAAAATGCTCTGTAAATAGCAGCTATGTTTCTCTGAAGTCCTCAGGACTGGCTCAACAACAAGCTGAGGTAGACTGGCCCATCACATAATCATGACATGTTCATCCAGAGTCCATTCTGGCTCTCAGGAACATCATCCATCTTCACAAGCCAAACCCATTAGAAAGGCCCTCACTGCAGCTCAAGGCCCTTGAATAGGGGTTATTAATGGATGGTCTTCATGAGATTCATAAATCCCCTTCCAAATTAGATTGAAAACTCTAGGTATGCATTTTTTTTTCTGCAGAGATGGGATCTACAGTTTTGAACAGGATCTCAAAGGGGCTATGATCCAGATTACATCAGGACTCTGCTTTAGAAAGTGTCTTTATACATCATCCATATGTAACTGCATCCAGATGGACTAGTATGCTGCAACTCTCTGCCCCAGAGAAGCCTAAGAGCACATCTACTTCTTTCCTTCTATTGGAGCACTCTTAGAAGGGTAAGAGGAAGGGCTTTCCAGGGCAATTGTGGACTGGGATGCTGACTGTGCCTGCAACAACTCAGTAGCTAAAGTTGCACTTGGGACATGAGATAGAGAGTGCAATTTCCCCCCTTTCAGATTATGCTTTTTTCTTTTTATGTTTTCACTTTGGCAAATTGAAATTTACAGGAAAGTTGTAAAAATCTCCCCATTTGCCACCTCCTGGATTCTCTAAATGTTAACATCTGGCGCCACATGCTATTCTCTTCCTTCACACATTCTGCTCTGAGACATTGGACATCAAGCTGCAAACAGCTTGCTTCTATACTCTTCCTTTTCTGTGCATGTGTGTGTATACCCACTCCACAGAGACACTGCCTTTCATGGCCATAGTGCAACCATCAAAGGAAGTTAATACTGACACAAATACTATAAAACTTACAGCAAATCTTATTCAGATTTTGCAAGTTTTCTATTTTATAGTCAACCTCGTTTCCTTCTCCCAAATCTCAGACTACATTCTGTTGCCCAGTCTCTTTAGCCTTTAATCTGACCAAACACTGACGTTTTTGAAAGGTGCATCAGACTTTTTTTTGGTGGTGGATGTTGGTAATCACACCTAGGGACCTCACATGTGCTAGGTACGTGTTCTGCTACAAAGCTACATTCCCCAGCCCCCAGACAAATTATTTTGAAGAACAATTCTAATGATGTTCACTACCAATTGATGATTGACTAATTGTCATTCTACCTACATTTATAAGTTGACTATTATCTGGAAGAGTTCTAGTTCTCTTTTTATGTCCTCGAGTTTCTACTTTACTCATTGAGTTCTTTTTTTTTTTTTTTTTTTAGAGAGAGTGTGAGAGGGGAGAGAGAGATATAGAGAGAGAGAGAGAATTTTTAATATTTATTTTTTAGTTCTCGGCGGACACAACATCTTTGTTGGTATGTGGTGCTGAGGATCGAACCCGGGCCGCACGCATGCCAGGCGAGCGCGCTACCGCTTGAGCCACATCCCCAGCCCCACTCATTGAGTTCTTTACTGAAATCATAATGTCCCTGATTAGGCCAGTGGTAGCCTTTCAACCTGTTTTCTGTGTCCTCATGTGCCTCTTTTTTTCTTACTAAGCCACAAAGGGTGGTCTTGAATTCAAGCCTTCTGAATAGATGGGACTAATGGGCCCATGCCCGTGCCTGGCACACACTTTCTGATATATGTAAGAAGGTAATGAGAAACAATGTGTAGCTTTAATTTGTATTTCTCTAATTACAAGTATGATTGAACTTCTTTTCATATTTCAGAATCTAATTTATTTATGAATTGTCTTTTTTTTTATGTGGTGCTGAAGTACCTCACACATGCCAGGCAAGCGTACTACTACTTGGGCCATATCTCCAGCCCTATGAATTGTCTTTTGTCCAATTTTCTATTGGATTTTTAGTTATTTCCCCTCTCAATCTTTAGGAATTCTTTGCAAGTTAGGGATTTAGCCCATTTATTTTGAAATATCTTGCGAATATTTTCTTTCAGTTTCTCAATACCTTTTGACCTTGTTTGCATTCCCATGGAAATGTTTTATTTTGATTATACTTTTATATGGCCAAAATTGATTAATATTTTGTTTCACTTAATCTGGGCTTCAAGTCATTGAAAAATTTTCCCTACACCTAGGTTAAAAGGCATCCACTTCTGGGAGTGGTGGTGTGTGCCTCAAGTTCTAGGCTCAGCAGACTGAGGCAGGAGGGTCATTTGAGCCCAGAAGTTAGGACCGCTGGGTAACAGCTAGACCCCATTTCTAAAAAAGAAGAGAAATTCACTCATGCACACTTGCATGGTTTCACATTTCTCTTCAGATTCCTGGTCTGTTTTGAGCATATTTTGTGAGGTATAGATCTAATTTTATGTTCCTCCAAACGGTCAACCAGTTATCTTTTTTTTTTATAGGATTTTTTTTCATTTTTTTAACAGAGAGAGAGAGAGAGAGAGAGAGAGAGAATTTTTTAATATTCATTTTTCAGTTTTCAGCAGACACAACATCTTTATTTGTATGTGGTGCTGAGGATCGAACCCGCGTTACCGGTTGAGCCATATCCCCAGCCCTCAACTAGTTATCTTGAATTATCTTTTACAAAATCTATCTGCATCCATGTCTGAACTCTCTGTTCCCATCCGTAAGCTCTCACACTGTTTTAATTATGGGGCCTTGATCTTGTGCTCTAATGTCTGAAAAGTCTAGTCTCTTCTTTGCAAGTTTTCTCTTTTTTTCCTGATGTAAATAAAAGAATGTTTTCACAGATATAAATACAGTTTTAATGACAAAATCTGATACTTCCAATTGTCAAAAAGGAAATACCTTTCTGAGTTGGAGCTCAGTGTTAGAGCATTTGCCTAGCATGTGTGAGGTCTTGGGTTTGAGCCTCAGCACCACATAAAAATAAAACAAAAATACTGTGTCCGTCTACATCTAGGGAAAAAAAAAAGAAAATACCAGCAGAAAGTTTATGCATATTAAACATCTTGAAGCCCAGAGGTCTATCTGGATCTCAACACCGAAGTATATTTGTGCTTTTGGCTTTTATTTTGATAAAGAACCTGCTGGTTCTCAAATATTTCCTGGTAGAGGCTAATTGTGCCATTGATTATTCTTGACACTTTCAATTTTCACTTATCATTAGAGCTGTTACTGGTAAGGACCTGCAAGTCAGCTTCAAAATGTGAAAAGGCTGGGCCGAGGATGTGGCTCAAGCTGTAGCGCGCTCGCCTGGCAAGCGTGCGGCCCGGCTTCGATCCTCAGCACCACATACAAACAAAGATGTTGTGTCTGCTGAAAACTAAAATAAATAAATAAATAAATATTTAAAAATTCTCTCACTCACTCTCTCTTTAAAAAAAAAAGGAATAAAAGATTTCAGATGGTTCTAAATGCATGTGAATAAATAACATAGTGCAATCGCATACATACTAGAGAAGCAGTATGGAGTCAGTCTTGCTGGGTTCAAATCCCAGTTTAAAAAAAAAAATGTGAAAAGGCTGCAGACAATTCTGTGGTCAGCTGATGGAGGGAGGACTCACTTCCTGTCCTGCTGCCTGCTCCAGTTCCAGCTGCATCACTTTCTCATTTGAAAGATCTTCTTCATGGATCACAGTAACTGGTTCATGTCAGTCTCTACCATCTCTTCCAGGGCTACATTCTTGGCAAGGGTCACAATGTTTTATTGAAGTTGTGCAATTGTATCTATTTGAGAAAAACTCTGGGAATGAACACACTATAATAGTCAAATCTCCCCCACACTGTTCATCATTGCTAGTTTGATCTTCTCCCAAGATACTACAATATTATTTACAGCATCCATTATGTCATTTCTCCAAAACTCTCTGATCACAGCTTATCCTTGCCATCTGCTGCTTCTCAGGTGTACTCAAAAGTCCTTCTCAGGTAATGAGCTTTGAAGGCTGAGGCTACACCTTGACCCATGGGCTAGACTGAGTCAGCTATACTGTCTTGAAGATCTTCTATTCTTACATTATCAGAAAGATCACTCAAATTTACTGGGTGGTATGACACATTGTCTAGAATGAGCAATGTTTTCTTGGTGAGATTATTCTGGGCACAGTAGTTTTCAATAGCAGGGCAAAAAATGCATGTAAACCATTCAAGATGCTCCTGGTAGCCCAAGACTTTTTGTTTGAGTGCCAGATTATAGGCAAATTGGGCTTGAGTACTTGAGTACCCCTTCAGAGCCTTAGGAGTTTCTGAGTGGTACACCAGCAAGGACTTCAACTGTCCCCAGCTGCATTTCTAATAAGCAGTAGCATCCATCTAGACCCAGGGTCAGCTTTCTCTCATTGAAATAAATGTTCTTTCAGACATTCTCTTCTAGTATAGGCCTTTGTTATCTACATCAAAAACCTGCTGGGGTTGTATTCACTTTTGATGGTGTTTTCCAGCACATATGGATAGATGTCTCAGTTGTTGCTAGGAGGTGCACTCTTCCTCTGGAAGTGGGGCGGGCAGTGGCACTCTTTGAATCTCACAAACCATGCTTTACTCACTCTAGTTATAGAGTTCCCACCTTGTTGATGCTGTAAGACATGAAACAAACTCAGCCTTCTTCTGAATGATGGTGACATTCCAGCTCATTTTGCTGGCTCTGTTCTTCCAGCCACATCATCAATAAACATTCCATACTCTATTATGGCATTTTGTCCGGGGGTTGCAGTGGGGTGGTATACCGAGGATTGAATTCAGGGGAACTCCACCACTGAGCCATAGCCTGAGTTCTGTTTTGGATTATTATTAGAGACAGGGTTTTGTGGCAGGCCATCATGGCATGTGATTTGAGTTACCTCCCTGGCTGGATGAAGGCCCTTAGACACAGCTGTGTCAGAGCTATTCCCCATCCTTTTCCAGGTCCGAGGGCTTGCCCGTGCATAGGTGAGCCTGGCCACTTCCGCGAAGACCCAATCGTCGCCCTTGACCTTGGGATGCTGCCCCCCTTAAGCTTCATTGGATGGGATTTTCCCTTGAATTTTTTGTTCCCCAATAAAAGTCCAGTCCCTGGCGTATTCTCTCCCTCCTGTAAACCTGGATACCGCATTAGGTGGCTGGAGGCAGGAGCTAGGAGAAGCTGTCCTGGAGCTGGTATTAAAAGTAATAGGATGGGCTGGGGATGTGGCTCAAGCGGTAGCATGCTCGCCTGGCATGCATGCGGCCCGGGTTCGATCCTCAGCACCACGTACAAATGATGTTGTGTCCGCAAAAACAAAACAAAACAAAACAAAAAAACTAAAAAGTAATAGGAGTCTTGTCTGTTTAATCTAAAACTCCCTAGCATTTACTCATGAATGAACCTTCTTTCATGAAGCCAGCAGAGGGTCTCACTGAATTGCTTAGCGCTTCACCCATTGCTGAGGCTGTCTTTGCACTTGCGATCCTCCTGCCTCAGCGTCCCCAGCCGCTGGGATTACAGGCGGCACCCCACTCGGGCTCCATCGTGACACTTCGATGGCAAGTCAACAGAAGGGCTTGCAAGGGAGCAGTTACTTGTGAACTGGCTTGACTTTTTACTATCTCGGATGGCCGCCATCGTAGACTTCTGCGTTTGGCTGCAAGTTATTAACACTTCTAATCCGATGTCGAGGGTAACTGCTTTCTGCTCCCTTCGGTAGTAGGGATGACGGTCGCATCCAGGGGCCTTTTCCTAGCCCCTTGGGCTTCCAACATGTAACGGAAGCACACTGGTTTCGGGTGCTTTTGGAAAGGCTCCGGTTGCCTGACCCGGGAAAGGGAAACCGAGGCTGCCAGGAGGGACGGGGGTGCCCCGGGAGACGCGGTCCAGAGGCCGCCCAGCCCCGGGCTGGCTGGTGCCCGGTGCCGAGCACTCGCAGGGGGCTCTCCGAGGTCAGTCCGAATGCCTGGCCCACAGCGGCGGGCACCCAGGAATGGCACAACCACCACCTGACCACCGCGCGGCCCCACGGGCACCGGAACCGGTCCTCCTCTCCGGAGGAGGCGAGGCGGCCTGAGGGGTGTCCGCCCGGGCGAGGCGGCCTGAGGGGTGTCCGCTCCGGGCGCCGGTTCCCGCGGAGGACCCCGGAAAAGGGTGTCTGGGCGGTGCCCGGTCTGCCCTCGGCGCCCGGGCCGACTCGGATGCAGGGCAGCGCGCAACGGCGCTGCGGCCCAACCCTTAGCAGTCAGGCGATGGTGCGGACGCCTGCGAGAGGCGGGCCCCGTTGCGCACTGGGGCCTCGTGCGGCGGCGCGCCCAGACCCGTCTGCGCCTGCACTGCGCATGCGCGAGCCCGGCAGCGCCTGGGGACTGGGGGCGCTGCGCTCCATGACCTGTCTGCGTCGGCGTGCGCCCTGGCGGCGCGAGGTCGCAGGTGGGCGATGTCGCACCGGCTGGCGGCGGTGGCTGGCAGTCGGGCGGTGACCGGGCCGCTTTCGGTGCTGTGGCGATGCGGCGCCACGGCTGCGGCTGGCGCCAGGGCCCTCGGCACCGCCCAGCAGGTGAGCAGGCCGGCGCTGCCGTCGGGGCGGCGGCGGACGGGGCGGGGCCGCGCTCGCCGTCGAGGTGACGCCATCCGCGTGCGCCGGCCCCTGCGCGGACGGTGAGCCCCCGCTGCCTCCGCGGCCCCGCGTCGTGCCACCCGGGCTCCTCCCGCAGAGTCGCCCTGCGAGCCAGGTCGATGGTGCTCGTGAAGGTGTCGTGAAGGGCTTCGGGCTTCTCCGTCCCGCGAGCCCTCGTGGAGCCGCCAGATCGCCCTCATAGTGGCCGGTGCTGGAGCTTTGTCCCGCGGTCCAGCACCAAGGTGCTGTGGGCCGTATCTCACAGAAGAGGGCGAGCACGGGGCATTCCACGTTTTAAAGCTGTTTTACTTTTGTTCTTTCCATCCTAGTGGACAGCAACCACATTGAGTTTTGATCTCATACACGAATGCAGTTTTTGGTTTTTGATTCTGGAAAGTTAGGTTTTCAGTCTACAGTAAGACAGAAGGATTGCATGGGTTGATTTTTTTTTTTTCGTTTGTTATGTCTTAAAGAATGAATTTTTCACAGGGCGAGGTGGCGCCCGCCTATAATCCCAGCGGCTGGGGAGGCAGGAGGATCGCGAGTTCAAAGCCATCCTCAGCAACTTAACTAGCCCCTAAGCAACTCAGCGACACTCTGTCTCTAAATTAGATATTTAAAAATGGCTGGGGATATTGCTCAGTTGGTTAAGTACCTCTGGGTTCAATTCCTGATACAAAAAAAAAAAAAAAAAGAACTTTTCTCTCTTTGTGTCTATTCTTTTGGGAGAACACACCTTAGTTTTGTCTCCCTCCCTGTTATCAGTGTTCCCTCCCTGGAATCAGTGTTTGACCTGTGTTGCATGTCCACATTGTAGAGGGCTGTTCTGGTTGTTAACATGTTCAGAGTCAGTAGTATAGTGAGTATGTGTGAATTGGTATAGCACAGGTGAGTCCTCAGTCACTGAACTGTCGTGAACCTCCGTGTTTTTACATTGAAGAAGGAAGTTGGGTGGTCTTTGAATTCATTCCCAAGCCGAGTCATTCTTGCTTATCTTTTAGGCAAACTTATCAGTTGACAATTCACTAGCCAGAGAGTATGAGGGTGAAAAAGAGAGGCTGTAGCAATCTGCCTTAGAGTTGAAAGATGTACCTTAGCACTCAGCACTCCTCAAGGGAAGTCTATGTTCTTGAGGCTTCCATGTGGTCATTTTCATTCTACAAGCTGCCTGCACAGTCCTTGGGCCTTTAGAGTTTACATGGTGTGTAAAACAGTAACCAGACAATAAACGAGTATACCTTGTTCTTGTGGAGTATATGAAGTATGAAGGAAAAGGAGGCAAAATCAGGGGAATAATGAGAAGGGAATGGAGGAGGGATGCATGTATGTGATTTGCTGCTTGGGGAGAGGGGAGGCAGGCTTGTCAGGTGGAATAGCCAAGGCATTGCCTTAGGGTAGGTGCAGCTGGTGTGTTCTGTGTGGTGTGTTCTGTGTGCTCAGAATGAAGAAGTGGTTAGTGAAAGGCAGTGCAGTCCGAGGTAGGGCCTTGTAAGCCTGGGAAGGTGTCAGCTGTGTGCTGCGTTGTGTAACTGACCTATAAGGGTCACCAGACTTGTACAAGAATGACTAGAAAGGGACCTTGGTGTGCCCAGCTTCATGTCCTGGCTTTGCAGAAACCAATTTTAACAAGTTTTCTACTATTAACTGCAATTTAATGGCAGAAACCAAATTTCAAGAACGGGCGGGTAGCATGTACCTGTGATCCTAAGGACCTGGGAGGCTGAGGCAGTAGGATCACAAGTTCCAAACCTTGGCAATTTAGTGAGACCCTGTCTCAAAAAATAAAAAAGGCCTAGGGGTGTATTTTGGTGGTAGAATGCACCTGGGATCAATCCCTGGTGCCAAAAACAAATAAAAAAATCTGTATGTTTACATTTACAGTGAGAACTACATTTGAACTGTTGTTTCCTACCAAATCACACACAGAACTAAATCATGATTTGAAACAGAGGAATTGGTTGTTTTATGAAGTTTTGGAGGCCCAAAGGGTCATATTTTCTACCTCTAGGGTATACACCTCTCAGTATCTATGAAATTAGTTACTAGTGCCAAAATTGCTTCCTACTTTGAGATGGTCTTAGAGAAACCAGAGAAGATTTGGGAACCAGAATTGTCATTGCACACCTCCTGCTACCAGTTGTCTTAATTTTTGCTTTTCTACCTACTTTCTTAGGCTAGGTTGTAAGGATTGGATGAAGTCACTAAGACATATCTGGCCACTATCCAGTAGTGATGTCTTGTACCTTTTGTCTGGATTCCCTGTTGACCCGCAGCTTTGGTTCCAGAGTAACGTCAGGGTAACATAGAGCCATTTTTTGTTGTTCAGTGTGTCATGTACCATCCTCAAAAAAGGTGCTGAGAGGACTTGCTGCAGCAGAAGTCCTTGTCTACCTGACACTCTTTACTCTTGATGATGTGACATCATCACCTTTTCTACCAGTCTTTCCTTTCTGAACTTGCTTGTTTAGGTTTACCCTGATTTTAATATCTTTTTTGTGGCTTATTTTATTTTTTAGTCCACTGAGGCTGTTGATAGGATGTTTGGATAAATAAATTAGCACTTTACCAATTGGGGGATGGATTTACTTTAGAGTGATAGTCTACAAAGCTTGCTTCTTCCTCATGTTGACAGCTGAAATAACATGGGTATTATCACCTATGGGTCTAGTTTCAGTATAATAAAATATTGGAGGGGCTGGGAATGTGGCTCAGGCGGTAGCGCGCTCCTCTGGCATGCATGTGGCCCGGGTTCGATCCCCAGCACCACATACCAACAACGATGTTGTGTCCGCCGAGAACTAAGAAATAAATATTAAAAAAAAATTCCTCTCTCTCTCTCTCTCCCCTCTCTCACTCTCTCAAAAAAAAAAATATTGGATACAATCCAAATTCTTCAGTTTTGTTGGAATTTTGTTGAATACAGTTAATACTGGGTTATTGAATGTGCTTAAGTTTTTTTTTTTTTAAACAGTGTGTTGCCTTTTACTTTGGTAGTTTTTCTTGTGGCTTTTGAATTGAATTAATGACAAATCTAAATTGCCTCTAGTTTTGTCCTTAACTCATGTATCAGGTAAGGTTAGCAGCTCATGGTAAAAATTGGCATTTTCCTCACTGAGGGTTGAAGAAATACAGAGGTTCTAGAAAATTGTGTGCCTTCTTGACCTGACAGACATTAACCTCCTAGCTGATCAAACATAAATCATAAGATTCTTTCAGTATTTTTTCCTTATTATTTTGTTTTTTATAGTGCTAGGGATCAAACCTAGGGCCTCACACAGGGTAGGCAAGCACTCTATCACTGAGATACATCCTCCTCAAATTTTCTTTTTTTCCCCCCAATTCTGAGGATTGAATCCAGGGCCTCGAACATGGTAAGCAAGGGCTCTACCTCTGAGTAACAACCAACAACCTTAAACCTTTTTTTTTGTTTGTTTCCAGACAGGATCTTGCTAAGTTGCCCAGGCTGGCCTCCAACTTGTTATCCTCTGTCCTTATCCTTCTGAGTAGCAGGGATTACAGGCATGTGCTTTCAGGCCCAGCCTCAGTATTTTAATTTTGTGAGATTTGAGTCTTAGAATCATGTTTGGTTTTGAGCTGCATTAGTTAGGGTTAAGGCCTTATGCAAAAAA